TCTTTTCTTAGGTGTCTGTGTATGGTGTGAAAACAGCCTGTGCCACAACACACCACTCAAGGGTCATCTCAGAGACTGCCAGGATTCCACATTGAGCCTCGCCTAGGAAACAACCAGGCTGGTTTCAGGGAGGTCAGCTCTCTGGGACGTGAGGGATAGATAAATTTCCCAGTCCTCTCGACATTGACTCCTTCTCTTTTCCCTTTTCCTCATTCTCCCCATTTTTCACTTGCTCCCTCCCTCCCTCCCTCCCTCCCTCGTTTCTTACCTTCTCTCCCTCCCTCCCTTCTGCTCATTCCTTCTTTCCTTTCTGTTTTGTTGGTTTGGGTTCTGAGACAGAGTCTTGCTATATAGCCCAGGCCAGCATCAAATGTTTGAGCCTCCTGCCTATGCTCATGTCTCCCAATCGTTAGAGGGCCAGGCTTGAGCACTCCCTAGCTTCTGGCCTTGCCACAGTTGAGCTTAGGTGTCTGTCTATACACTGGTGCCGGCCGCCTTCCTATAGAGCTGCTTTCTGGGTGACTAGAGATGGCGGCCCTGGGTAGATCTCTGATTATTGGGGGCTGGGTACAAGAAGCGTGAAAGCAGGCCACTCCCTATAAGAGGGCAGGAAAGTGTGCTGGGCACTACTCTGCATGTGTGTAGTCTCTTCTTACCATAGATACGTCCTAGCCACCTGCTTCCAGCCCATTGCCTTGATCTCCCCACCATGATGGGCTCTACCCTGATATGTGGGCTGAAATAAACCCTTTCCACCTTAAGTTGCTTTTGTTTCAGTTTTTTATTCATTTAATCATCACAGCAACAGGAAAAGAAACTAAGACATCCAGAAATCATCAACACAGCTTAGGATGGGTCATTGTCAGCCCCTCCACCGGCACAGAGCGAAGCATGTCATTACTGGTCATTGCTCAGGGCATCTTTCCCAGATGAAAGGGGCAAAGCCAATCCAAACAGTTTAGATGAAAAGGAGGGATGAGCCCCGAGGCTTCATTGCCTGAGAGAAGCCCAAGGCAGGAAAACAATCTTTCTTATGGAAGGCCTGAAGGGGAACCAGAAAGCTATCTAGGGGTGGAGTAGTCCTCGATCCCTCCTGCATGGGGGGGTCTCTGTTCATCTCCCACTGCTCCCCACTCTGCAAGCCAGGATCAACTGCCATCATGTCTATGGGGCAAACGACTCCTCCAACTCTACAAAGTAACATCTAAGGTACCCACAAACTCCTTCATGTCTGCCTCATCTCAAACCTATTCTGTAGGGGACACATGTCTCCCAGCCCAGCTTGAATCAAGGTCCCTACCAGGGTGGCAGGGGCATCCATGGCCAATAGCTCTTCTGGAGGCCTTTGTCCTATGTATGGAGATGCAGATACTGCAGAAAGTCCCAAGGAGATGAAGCCAGACAGCCACCCGTTCAGGCTATTCAGTCCCTCTGAAGCAGGCAAGAAATATTAGAGGGTGGTCGGAAAGCACGCTACTTTCTGGCTGGGTCTACCATAGGAGGAGGAGGGCAGACCACTGTGGCACAGCTGTTGTTATAAATGTTGCCACAGTCTCTCAACCAGAGTGTGACATTTACTCACCGGCTACCCTGGGGTCTTGGTCACAAACACACACCGAGGACCAGCTTACATCAAGTCCTGGGGCTTCAGGCCCATGGTGAGGCCTGGACTCAACATATTTCCTAAAGGAGCAAGGGACCCCTTGTGTGCACCCCTTCTCCACGGGCTGCTGGATGGAAGGCAGCGACAGACGAGCGGACCCTGGCTTTGCAGTCTATGATCCAGGGAGGAGATGGCATCTCCCAGCCAGTGGCTCAGCCTGGGCAGTGGCTGGGTCTCCAAGCCAAGAGATGCTTCAGCCAACATACCAGCAGCCCAGACGCTGAGCAGATGACGCCGCCCTGCTGCCATCTCGCTCAGGGAGCCTGCCAAGTCCCCAGGTCCAGCCAGTGCTGACATTTAAAGCAACGTGTGTGTCAACCATATTAAACCATACGCCAAGCTGTGGGTTATTAAGTGCAGGGCAAATTGACCACAGCAATTAAACTGAGATTAGAGAGACAACCAGAGTCCCCGGATGGGAAAGCTGCAACCTACAGAACCAGACAGTGTGAGCACTACATCCCCCAGCTGGAGGAGCACAGACCTCAAAGGAGACTCACCTAGTCCTCCGGCCCCCCAGCACTCCCCTTACATGAGTTTGATAACCTGGCGTGCTCAGCTTGTATCTGACACTGGGGATTTTTGGAGGCAGGGAGAGCCAGGAGATACGTCCTCAGGGAAGAAGTTCTGCTGGGGCAGAGTGCTCCCTTCATCCCCACAACACCTTCTTGGTGTGGATCATTCATGGACCTGTGGGTGGGGGAAAGACACTCGGGAGAGTTCTAGAAACAGAGCTCGCTTGATCTCATTCCACCAATGTCAGGTGCTACTAGTTACCTGAGCAGCTCAGGGCAGCAACGGGAGAGTTCCAGGTGGGGCTAACCTTACATAACACCACTGGCCGTAACACTAGGGTAGAGGATGGCACCCTGGAACTGGGGGTGCCGCCCCTTACCTCAGAAAGAGTACGCACTCCCCTTTGAGTCGCTGCCTCCAGCCTATCTGGGCCACGAGGCCGCGGTTGTACTGTTGACTTGCCCCGGACCTTCAAGATATCTTGGTGTGAGGGTAAGAGAAAGGGTGTTTAGGAGAGGCTCTGACTAGGACAGAATTGCTTTTTTCCTCCCAAAATGTCCCCAGGCCTCACAGCTGGCCTGGCTAGGTAGCTCATTGTCCCAGGAGCTGCAGGAGTCTGAATATAGTGACGGAGGACTCAGGATTGAGGAGGTAACCTGTATGTGTTCAGGTCCTGGTCCTGGTCCTGTCTCTTGCTCTTTAGTGATGGAGGACACAGGATTGAGGAGGTAACCTATGTTCAGGTCCTGGTCCTGTCTCTTGCTCTTTAGTGATGGAGAACACAGGATTGAGGAGGTAACCTGTGTTCAGGTCCTGGTCCTGTCTCTTGCTCTTTAGTGATGGAGGACACAGGATTGAGGAGGTAACCTGTGTTCAGGTCCTGGTCCTGTCTCTTGCTCATTGGATGGTTTTGATTATATGATGGCCTTTGCCTGGCCCCGGCTTCCTCTCCTGTGGAATGATGCATCCTAACTAAGTTCTCCATCAGAGCCAATGGTTCAAGCAGGCAAGGACTTAGCCAGAGAAGAGGTATTTCCTTGGGCAGGATTGGTAGTATCCAGCATGGAGGGATAAGGATGCTGGCTTTATTCACTCCAGTGGATCCCCAGGAAATTCACTGTTTCCAGCACCAAGTCTCAGCTGTCCATCCACCTTCGGGCTGTCCCCTGCATGAACTCTCCTCTAACAGTACTGCTCCCAGCTGGACTGTGGTCTCCCACTCCTTTCCCAGAGCCCCTCAGTCACATTCACCAAGGTAAGAGACCAGAGAACTTCTTGGCTTTTAACTTTTATAAAGTGATGTGCCGACATCCTTGCCCTGGATGAAGGCTCTGTGATTGGAGGATCTGAGCCCCTTGCGTTCCGGTTGCCTGCGGAATATGCCCTGCTGTAGACACCATTAAAGAGCCTAAGTTACTGTCAATACTTTGAAGAGAAGCCCCTGGGAAGCAACCTTCTCTCAGTAGGGGTTTCCTGTGATCACAGCGTGTCCACAACTGAACCCCTTTATCTCATCACAAGAGTTGGTTAAAGAAGCGGTTTCTGCTTGTGCCTCCTGCAAGGCCAAACTTTCTCCTGGGATCCAGTCCAAAGTATCCCAGTGCTGGATGAGCCACATGGCTCACAGACCTCAGCTTTTGGCTCAGTCCTAACCAAACTTGCTGTATCACCCGCTCTCCTGTCCTCTGCCCCTTGAAGTAGAGGTGGGGAGTGGTGGGGAAGCCATCTTGTTTCCTGAAACATTTAGCCTTATAAGTTGCCAGAAAAATCCTCTGGTTAGAGCCAATCTGAACAAATGGTGCTGTACTACTGAGACTCAGAAATGTCTCAAGATGGGAGACACGTAGGACCCGGAGCACCAGGTCCATCTGTAAGCGGACCTCTGAGATCCAAGATACCACGAACCAAGTTTAGGAGTATTTATTTTTTTCATTATGAGCAGTCAGAAAAGATGAGAAGTCTCAGCCCTAAACTGAATAAGTTCCAAGCTGTAGTGCCTTGACTGAATTGTAAGGGATACAGATTTGGTCCTCAGGAAAGGCACTGGGATCCTCAGGATTCTCAGGTACCTACCCCAACCACATTCAAAAGCACGCCAGGCTCTCCCTGAACTCTGGATTCACATTCCCCTGTCTCGTCGCACCCCGCGGGACCTTGCTCTCAGCTAGCTAGCACTCTGGAAAGTCCCTGACAAGCTTCAGCATGATCAATGGGTATAATGTGCTTGCAGGTAAATGATGAAGACACCTTCATCCAAGTCTCATGGGCAGAATCATAGACGCCAGCATGGGACTGGACCACTGACGGTCCATTGAGTGCTTCTGAAGGTGCCCTTCTTGGCTACAGTCCAGCCAAAGTGGGACATTGAACATGCTTCATTTGTTGCCTATGTCCCTGGTTTCCTTTAGGGGATTGAAAATAGCCTCTTGGGCCTCTTTAACCCAAAAGTTTATTCCTTGGGTCTAAATTCCTTAGCCTAATATTCATAATGAGACCCTGAACTCAGCTTAAGATCCATCATTCTCCTTGCAAAACTGGAAAGGCCATGCCGCCTCTGAGCACAGTAGCTGCTTCTCTAAGTGGGTCCCTGCAAGCACAACCACAGTCCAATACTCCACACCCACGAGACAGGTGATGATGCAACGGGGCTCAGATGGCATGGACTGGAAAACTAGGCTCAGAGAGGGCTAGTGACTTGACTGAGGTCACACAGTCAGTAAGTGGCCTCTGAACCCCACCCTCAGACATCACTATGTTCCCACTGGCTCCTGAGACCTTAGACCCATTCTCCCCCCATCTCTCTCCTAAGGACCCAACTCACCGTCCTTCGGATTCGCTATCTGCTCAGGAAGCTGAGAGAAAGCCCAGCACAGACAGAAGGATCCAGAGTGAGCAAGCAAACAGTCCTTCCTCTTCCACAAAAATAAAAATCAAGAGAGCCAGAGACTCTTTATCTGACCCCCAAAATAAACTTCCTTTCTTCTGGGCTGGGCAATAGATGCCAAGTTCTGCTTCAGGTCATTAAAAACCCAAACCAAACCAAACACTCCTAAAGCCTTCAACCCCTTAGTGATTCCGTTTGTAATGAAAACATGGACTTCCCCTCTTCTCTGGTCAGGGGAATTGCTGTGGTCGGATACAATGTTTTCACAGTCAGCTAATTAGCCCCTTCAAGGAGGGCTGATGATCTAACTTCCTGCCCTTGGCTTGGCCTGAGAGCTCCTGGCTTGGCCCTGAGGGCTGAAGTGAGTAGGACCAGGGTTTCAGAGGTGAGGAACACAGGGAGAGAGCCTGGTAGATCTCTACACCCCCACACAGGCCCGGTACACCTGCCTCTGCCAGCAGGTCCTGTCTACACACGTGATTTTTCCTTCCCAAGGCTGTCTCCTCCATTTCTAAACTGGGGCAAAGGGAGCAGGGGGGCAAGGGGGGGTGCTAATGGTGCTTTAAGAAAGTATTCCGAATGATGCATGGAGTCTGCTCAGGCAATGCCTTTTCTCGACTCTTCCCTCCTCTTCCTTCCTTTCTTAGACACCCCAGAACTGAGGAACCGTTATTCCGGCACATCCCCCAGCCACAGCATTAATGCTTGACAGTGAATGCATAGCAAGAAGTCCAGCAGGAAGGGGCACTGAGTGGTTTGTAGCTGCCATCTCATGTCAGCCTACGAGCGGGCCTGCATCTGGTGATGTTAGTCTGCCCATTTTACAGATGAAATAAGTGAGGCTCTAAGACCTGGACCAGCTGGAACATACTAGGGAAGAACAAAACCTCAGGTGTTGAACCAAAATCAATGCCTCATGATTTAGTCTTTTGCTTGCACACCTGGTGTTTTTTTTTTTTCTGGAGTAAATCCTTGTTATGTATTTCATGGACAAGCATTCAGCACTAAGGACCTCTCCCCAGCCCCCACAGCTTCTCACTGCAAGCTCTTGGCCACAAACACAAGCTGGGGCCATGCTGCCCCTGGGGATCCCCCCTGCCTCCCCTCTGGCTTCTCGCTTCTCTTATCTTCCACGTTTTTGGTTGATATTCTTGTTGTAGGATGACTATGACTGGGTTTGTGAAGGGATGACAAAGGTCATGAGTCCTAGTCAGATAGGCCTGGTGCCCTAGATGAAGAGGACACCATCTCCCTTCCCCCACCATGCCATGAGACGCAGCAGGAAGACACCATCTGCAACCATCCTGAGAACCTCACCAGAACCCTCCCCCAGACCTTGATCCTCTAGCACTGAGAGGAAACAAACCAAATGTCTGTTGAAGCCAGACTGTCTGTGACTGACACAACTCTAGTTTGCTAAAGTAAATCTGTCACTAAAGCCAGAGAGATTCTTCATAATGGTTCACGTCTTTAAAACAACAAACTTGCTAAGTATAGAATTCTTAGAATTTTATACATAGAAAGCTACAGAATTTTAGTTTGTGTTTATGTGGTTTTTTTTGTCTGCTTGTCTGTCTGCATCACAGTGTGCCTGGTACCCGAAATGACCACAAGATGGCACTGAGTCCTCTGGGACTGGATTCAGAAGTTTGGGAACCACTTGTGGGTGCTGGGAATCTAAGCCGGGTCCTCTGGAAGACCAGACAGTGCTCCTAACCACTGAGCCGTCTCTCCAGCCCTCCGTGTGATTCTTATTCCCAGTCTACAAATAAGACATTTTTTTCCTTTCTCTCATAGATTTTAGAATCTTCTCTTTATTTTTACCATTCTGAAATTTTGCTGTAAGGAACACAGGGTCAAGTTTATTTCTCCATTCCTTACATGAAAAGGTGAGTCATTTTAATTTTAAAATTCTGAGCAGTTTTCTTGTATTTTTCTCCTGTGATTTGCATCCCTCATGGCTGTGTGGAGTCTTCTTAAACTTCATGTGAACACCATGTGGGTTTAGCCTCTCAAACAGCAGAACTCTCCTCCTAACAGCCCCCGTTTAGGCTGCCTGACTTGCTGCTTTTTACAGCCTTTTTCATGAGTATACAATATTCTCTTGTCACTGAAAATGTGAGTGCTTTTGGGTTTTCCTTCTGGTTGTCTTCATTCCCAGTCCTTTTTAGGGTACTATTTATTATTTATTATTCATTTGCTTTTACTCTGAAAACATCTCAAATCTCTGAAGTTCTTTGGCTGTTTGTGGTTTGCAGACAAGTTCCAAAATGTCACCGGGGAAGTGTTGTGGATGTTTTGGTTGGTCAGGGCCCTACTTTTTCTCTGAGGGAGCCCATAGATGACATTCCTACACTCCAGAACTGACCTGACAAGCCAGTGAAATTGTCAAACTTCCTCCGGAGAGCTGCAACAAAGTATCAACAAGGGGGGTGTGTTAAACACCAAAGAGCTTCTCTCAGGTCTGGAGGCTGGATGTTCAAGGGTACCAGGAGGGCCTGCTTCCTGGTTCATGGATGGTTCTCTTCTTTCTACTCCCTCACATGGCAGAAGGAAGGAGAAAATTCTTGGGCCTGTTTAATCAGAGCTCCAATCCCACTTATGAACAACTTCCCGAAGACCCACCTCCTAACGCCATACTCCAAGGAATAGCTTCAACAAGGGGATGAGGAGGGCACCAAAGCGGGTGTATTACCGTGAGAGCCTCAGAGTCACTCAGCACAGAGAAGGAAAAAGAGATTAACTAGAGAGACACATCTTGTGGGTATCAGATTTAACCTTGTTGGAGAACTCCACCAGTTTCTCTCCACATCTGTGCGATGACACCCGTTCTGGGCGATCTCTTCTAGGTTACGTTTCTGCTAAGATTTCCCCTGGAAACTTTCCAAAGGGCCATGAACTTTGGTGATAAATCCAATAGATGCCTAGACAGCGTTTATTCACAAATTTCATCTTTTAGTCATCTTTAAAATGACTAAAACTGCCAGTTTCAGTCATTAAACTCTGAAGTTCATTACTTCTGTCTTATTACTAAGCTTTTCTACTGTACAAGAAAATGTGCTCCTGAGAGGCAATCTTGTTGGGTCCCATTGCCATTTCGGTTGGGGGAGGGGCAGTCTCCTTTGTGGATGCTCTTTTCCATGTTCATCGTTATCGCAAGGAATCGGTGCTGAGGCTTAACTGTTATGCTGGCCCAAGTACCAATGCTCTAAGTGGGCCTCCATTCCCATCAGTGCTGTCTTGGTCAGCACCATCACTAAGTGACTTCACTATCCAGCTGAGAGGCGGTCACTGGTTAAGAACACACCCTGCTCTTCAGGAGGGTCAGGATGTGGTTCTTAGTGCCTGTAAGTCCAGCTCCGGATACCCAATATCCTCTTCTGGCCTCTACAAGTACTGCACGCATGTGTGTACACACACACACACACACACACACACACACACACACACGCAAACGCACACACAATCTCAAAGTCAGTTTTGTCATAACATTAGAAATGTGCTGGTGGGTGCAGTTTAGCATTCATATACATTCCTAAAAGGAGAGTTGCTATTTGCTAAGTAATCACATTTTCTACAAGTATGAAATCATTTTCCAGAAAGGCAAAAATAAAAGGACACCTCTTTGCCATCCAAGATCTCTTTAACAAGTGAATTTCAGGTAATCATGGATTCTTAGACTCCTGAGTAGCACACAGGACAAACAGAAGTGATTCTCTTTCTCAAACACTGCATTGAGGGAAGCCAGCACACCCCTCACAGACATGTGCCCTCCCGTTTTCCTTCCCCCAGTATGTGTCCTGTGGATGCTTATTACAGGGGGCGTGCTGAGAAAAAAGAGTCCATGGTTACAGACGTGGGGGCTGCTGAATACTGTCACCCTCGTCTTAGCTCCAGGGCACCCTGGCCTGCTAAGAGCATTGTTAAGACCTTGTTGAGTTCCCAGATGAAATCCCTGGTCTGAGTAATATCTGTAAGAAACTCAACCAGCTAGTTCTTCAGAACAGATCTGGGAACCGTGGGCAGATGCCTAGCATCACATGGCATGCTGTTCCCACCCAATAATCCCAATAATTCCACCAGTAAAGGTTAAAACTGAGAAGGGTCTCACTGAGGGGAGCATTTGTGGAGGTCGCCCTAATTGGCCTAGGGAGACAGTTCCATGGATAAAGTACTTGCTGTTCAAACGCTGACTGGAGTTCAGATCCCCAGGACCCATGTGGAAGCTGCTTGAGACAGAACTCCCCAGGGCAAGCTGGCCAACAGGATTAGAGATCCAGGTTCAGTGAGAGACTGCCTCAGTCATCAGAAAAGACACCAGTGGTGACCTTTGGTGTGTGTCTACGTAACTATGTAATGAAAAAGTACTCAAAGTAATGGTATTAAAGGCTATTAAGTAGCATAGTTCTCCCTGGCATATGTAGGGGAAACAAATCAAAACCTTACAGAGTGAGTCTACCTTAAGGACACATGGTAAAACACTGAGAAGCAATTAAAGTGCGTAAGTAATAGCTTTATGTGAGAATGGGTTTTTAATTGTGACTGCTGGTTTTAGAACACAGATGAAGGGGACCATCCAGGTGAGGTGATCCTGAGATAGGAAGCTGCAGCCCACACAGCTTAAGGGATACCATTTAACCTTCGCAGAAGGATGACAAAGTCACAGCACTCATTACCCCATGATGTCCAAGGGACACTTTGGCTAATTTGTACATGTCAGGTTTGTAATGGATTATTTCAAGAAAGCTAAGAATTTGGGGGAAGAAACATCTGTGACCTTTGGAAGCTGACATCATGGAAGGAAATTGCCTTGTCCCTTCTTTCTTAGGGATTCAAGCTTAGTCCTCTCCCTAAAGGTCAGGGAGGAGGGGAGGAGTGCTCTGTGTGAGGTTCCCTAATAGCCCGCCTCCCACTGTGCCTCCACCATCCGTTCATTCCCTGGGAAAGCCTAGCCTCTAACCCTTCTACACGCTTCTTTTCCCTGTCCTGCTGGCTGAAAACTAACAGTTGGGACCTTTTCTTCTCTTTTGGGACACCCTTGAAAAGGGACGGGGGTTGCTGCCCTACCTCGGGAAGCTCAGGAAACTCACTCTTATAACTGATCTCTAATCATTTTCCAGGGCAACACTGTATCTCAGATTTCTAGCCTTCACCCTAACAGTCACACGTGGAGAGACAGCTTTCCATGGTGAGAGCTTGTCTTAGCTA